TTTGCCAAGAAAAAATTGGGGTCATGAAGTCAGACATGACTGAAAAACTACCGAATTACAACTTTCTTGCCCAGACCAAGGTGTTACATGCTAGGGATTCAACTACCTTATCTAGACTCCAGGGGAATTAGCCGTCAACCTTCTCAAGACGCACAGCAACTGAGAAGAGACGCAGCAGAAATGTATTTCAAACTATCACTACTTCTTCAAGAATCTTTCCTGTTGTTTTCCACTCCCTTTGGAGACTTTCATAACGGGTTTGGATGTAAGATACAAGGAGAGTCATTCAAAGCTATTCTCATTAATATTTATCAACTTGCAAGATTCTGTAATGTCTCCGTGGGAATTTAACACTCAATAATTGAGTGCCCTGGAAACACCACTTTTACTCATAAGTTTTCAGGACAATGTTAACTTAGTATTAAGTCTTGATTAATGCTCAAAATAATTCATTTTCATATTCTGAATTTTTAATCTCACTTCTCTGGATCTCATATACTAATAAGAAGGGTTTAAATAAAGTAGGTTCTTTAAAGGTGGTCCTATACTTTTCTCTTGAACCCCTAAATCCCTGAAGATAAGTAAGGAATCAAACCTTTGCAAAGAAATCCACATGAATCTGCCAAATAAGCACCTTCCTGTATTATCAGAGCTGGGATCACAGAATCATAGATTTCGATCTGAGAGGGACCTCAGATCCCATCCAGACCAATGCTTATTTTTTTTTTTGAGAGGCTATGGAGTTAAGTGACTTGCTCAGGGTCACACAGCTACTGAGTATCATGTGTCTAAGGTCAGATTTGTTTTGTTTTGTTTTGTTTTTGGGAGGCAATGGGGTTAAGTGACTTGTCCAGGGTTATACAGCTAGTAAGTGTCAAGTGTTTGGTCTGAGTCCGGATTTGAATTCAGGTCCTCCTGACTCCAGAGCCAGTGCTCTATCCACTGCACCACCTAGCTGCCCCAGACCAATGCTCATTTTACAGAGAAGGAAACCAGGATCCAGAAAAATGAAATGAATTATCCAAAATCACATAGGTAATAGGAAGAGAAAAAGGATTTGAATTCACTTTCTCTGATATCAGGAATAAGTTTTTCTACTGTTCCATAGTAGAATTTACAAATCACTACTCGGGCTTCAGGGCTTATACTTACGGAATCTAAAAATAGAATTGGGTTTTTTTGGGGTTTTTTTGTTTGTTTTTGTTTTGTTTTTTGCTAGGCAGTGGGGTTAAGTGACTTGCCCAGGGTCACACAGCTAGTAGGTGTTATGTGTCTAAGACCATATTTGAATTCAGGTCCTCCTGACTTCAGGGCCAGTACTCTATCCACTGTACCACTTAGCTGCCCCTAAAATAGAATTTAGAAAAGACCTCCATAAGTTATCTAGTCCTTCTGACCTGCCTCTGCTACCATTTCAGTTAGTCTGGCTGTAAGACAATTACATAGCTTGTCTTTACCCTGTCGGAGTCATTAGTGAAATGTGCTTTCTTTTCAGGGGTGGGGGGTGGTTTTAGAGAACTTCCTTTCAAATGATTATACAGATATTTCTCTGAGTCCTTCAAAATTCTGTCTAGCTAAAACACAAATAAAGATAATATTTGAAGAACTGATCTGGTCTGGGGCCCAAATCTACTAAAATGGTACTTACTCCTCTCCCCAACCTAGCACCTTTAAAACACACTTAGACTCTCACACATGGCCTAGATGCATGGTAGCCCTCAGCTTCTAGGGCTCAAAAGACTTGGATTGTCACCATCCTAAGATGAGCTTCATTTTGCTTTGTTGTTGTTCTTTTTAAAAACATATGTTAAAAAACATATAGTCAAAACTATATCACTATGACATTGCTTACGTTGAGATTACTAGATTTTCTAAAAATAATCTAGGAAAGAAAATGAATGCCAGTCGGACACTTCCCCTCTGGGGGGCTGTGGGAGTGAGTGGGAAGTGAATTGTTTTTAATGCGTGAAATATGAACCTTTTTTCTCCATGTTTTCTTTTCTTTCTCTTGAGAAATCTAGTGTACTGGAAATGGGAAGAGGTAGTACTTGACCTCAGGAGGGCATTTTGTAATGGTTTTTGCCCCAGTTTTCCTTCTCCAGATCTTCCATTTTATGTTCTTGTCATTGTTAACAATTATATGTTTGATTCTAGCAGATAAAGTAAATGACACATTTTGAAGACACAGTGACCCTGAACAAGAGCCATTTTAGTATTCTATCTTCCTCAAGGTACAAAGTGGCACCATAATGGCCTGATAAATTAATGCCTGAAAATAGGAGTGCTTTCTCCTCCAGACTCAAGCTCATAATGGCTGAGGCTCTCTAAAAGCTCATTCCAGGTTGTTCGTGATTCGTTGTTATATGACCCATTTTACCCATAATTCTGCAGGAGTTCTGTTTAACTTTATTAAAAAAAAAAAATCTCCCATGAGGATCTTTAGGTTTTGATTCAAAAACTTCCAGTATAAAAACTGTGTCTCTAAAAAGCAAGGCAGCCAGCCAGCCAGTCAGTATCAAGAAAACATATTAAAGTTGATACCGCAAACCCTCTCAGGTCAAAAGTAATGAAAAACATTTTTCTCTAGGTGACATTCTGCTCCTTGGCAACCTAAACTGAGAGGTTCTTTCCTACACTTCCATGGTTACGAAGATGCAAAAAGCAGGTCCCCATCACTCAACCCCTCCTTTCCACAACTTCCAATAGTATATGGTTATAATAGATGGCTTTTCTCACCTGACCCCATTGATTCTTGCACATGAAAAATAAGACTTGAAAAAATGTATTGAAAACATAAAATTGCTATTGAAAACATAAAGCTACTAAAAACGCATGATCAATTAATAACCCTTTAAAAAAAATTCTAGTTCTAAACTTCCAATGGCTAGATGAAATACTACTTCCTTCAAACCTTCCTCAACTCAACCATGTAGCCGTGCAATACACAAAACCAGGTTGGACCTTGAAAACAGCTTTTCATTATATTAAGAAGAATTCAATGCATTAAGAAGATTACTTAATCTTAATTTGTAAATATCCTGGAAATCCAAAATCATTGTATCCTATGCACTAGATAGGTCAAGTCAACATTTGTCAGGCACCTGATAATCCATTAGATTGTAAATTCCTTGAGGGCAGGGATGGTTTTTTGACTCTTTTTTTAATCCCCTGAATTTAGCACAGTGCCTGGCACTTAGTAGACACTTAATAAATGCTTAATGATTGACTCATTAACCAATCTGGCTCCTCTTTCTACTATGGATAAACAGAATAGAAGGACATTTAGCTCAGGAGCCTCTGATGGTGTTATGGGGCAGTGAATGTGGGTAGAGAATGCCTGTGAGTGAGAGGGAAGTTTTTGCTCTTTCTTCTTGAAAAGAAGAAATGAGGAAGGATGGTAGCTCAGCCTGAGTATATTATTTACAAAGCCTCCCTCTTCAGTCTATGGTGAAACATGAAACTGAAAACCACAAGAGGTGCGGTTACAAGGTCCTAGAATTATTAGCCCACTTCTGTCCATTCTCATTGCAACTACTGGATTTTTCTGTTTCTGAAAATTGATGTTGAAGGGTTTGGGGAAAGCCATTAATAGCCCTAGGATGGGGGTGAAGGGGTGGGCCAAGTGTAGAGATGGCTTTCTACACTGTCGCTGGGCAGCCCTGGCTTCCTTCTCATAATCAAATATCAGTGGAATGAAAATTTCTCTAAGTTACCACTTCCCAACTACTGGGGATGCAACATCTTCTCTATAGTTGGTGGGTATCAACATGTGCAAAGGACCAGACTCTGCCCCCATCCCCTCTTCCCTTGTTAAAAGACCCATCTAAGTGATTGTACATGTATAGCCTATAACAGATTGCATGCTATCTTGGGGAGAGGGTGGAATTTAGAACTCAAAAATCTTATAAAAGTGAATGTTGAAAACTAAAAATAAATAAATTTTTTAAAAGACCCACTTAAAGAATCCCTTATCTACTTGGCAGCTGTTTTGCAGCCTACATCAAACTGTAAATCAAATTTGGATTCACCATCAATGCCCTCCCGATTATCCTTCCTGTGCCTTCCCCCAGCCAGTCATTCCAGCGCCTATATCTCCAGTGTCCTCACCCTGTTCTACTGTGGCAGCACACCAGTCCCCTTCCCCATTTCAGGGAGGAAAGCAAACTGATTCATACTAAAGTGTCAGGGATATAATGTATTGCCTGTCCTAGGAGTATTGGCTTTCTTCAAATGAGAAGCCAAGAGAGGGCAATGTTTAGCCCCAAAGAAAAAAAATTCCCTATGGTGGGAATTTCAGACCCTAAAACTGTTGAGTGAAAGAGATGTTATGGAGAGAGGTGTACTTTCTGGGAGCTTTCCAACTATGCCTTATAGGTAATCTGCCACCTATATCTATCATAAGAGGCAGTTAGGTAGCAGCGGATAGAGCGCTGGTCCTGGAGTTAGGAAGACCTGAGCTCAAATCTGGCCTCAGACACTTACTAGCTGTGTGACCCTGGGCAAGTCATTTAATCTCTGATTTCCTTAATCCCCTAAAGAAGGAAATGGCAAACCACTCCTATATATTTGCCAAGAAAACCCCACGGATAGCACTGGCAAGCTACGGTCATGAAGAGTCAGACACAACTCAACAGCAACAACAACAAATATATATATATATATATATATATATATATATATATATATATATATA